AGTACTTACAATGCCTGAATTGCTGTAAAGATTCCAAGAACTATAAGGGTACTGCACTTCAAAAAGTTCATGGAAAGATTCATATCATCTTTTAATTCTATTTTTCACAACTTTTTGAACTATCCTCGTACGTATTTGTAAAACCTGGTATGTACCTCACCTTAGTAGAGGCTTAGTGAGTTACTGTTATTCCCTTTGCTATATTTTACAATGGTTTGCAAGAAATAGAACGGGCAGAGCAAAACAAAGTTATGTTACTAGGAAAAAAAGTAGGAACTCATGACGGGATTAATAAGAATCCCCTTGTATTAAAAGTACTGGCAAAGTAAACTTTCTTCATACCTGGCCCTAGGGCCTCTCCTCTTCCCTCAGATTAAATTGGTGTCCAATATGGTGAAGCCAACTGAAAGTAATCACTCTCTAATGATGCATGTTTTTCTCAAAGGAATATGCAAGTGAATACTCAAGAGCTTTCTAAAAGTGAAATCAATCAGTAAATCAACCAGCCAGACAATCCAACAACAGAGCAGTTCCCCCAACTCTGAGGCTAGTGGAACATCAAAAGGTAGAGTTGAGACCTTTCTTTAATCTTTTTCAAGTCACCTAAGGCCTCCATTTCTTAACTATAAACTGGAATCAATGCTCCCCTTGCAGTGTTGGTATAACAATCAAGTCAAGCAATATGTATGAAGGCTCTTTGTAAATACTAAGCCATTTTACAGATGTATCCTTATTTTCTTGCTTAAACATCATCATCATTCATTGTTTTTCATCACATTTCAAATCATATCCTCCATCCTCTTCCTAGTCTTTTGGCCAATACTTTATAAAACTCTGGAGCAGGAGTATAGTCAAATAGTTTTATGATTCAAGTTAGGAATCTCCTACTTTATAACTCATCAGCACTGTGCTCAGCAACTTCTAAACTTAAAATTCACATCTTAGATGTCTATAAAATATGGAACCTTGAGGTAGCTGTCATTTTCTGTAAGCATATTTTTAAAACCAGTAGAGATGATATGAAGACAATCAAATTCATTACAAATCTTTCCTCGACCCAGCTGATATGGCACATCAAGATGGATTTGACAGTTATACATCTACAGAGGAATGTTTAGAGATAAGATGAAAGCAGTTCTCCTTATTAATCACGCATTGTGTATTTGACTTCTGCCTCCCTCCTCAGCCTTTAAATCAACTACATCTGGTTCCTGCTACTTAAGTGTGCCATTACCTTTTGCATTAAAAGCCAGTTACTCCTAGAGAAAGCAGCCCCATTTGATTAAAAAATAATTAAGTGGAGTTATATTTATGTTACCCATCATGGCAGTCCAAATGAGAATTTTGATATAGGTAGGAGACCTACTTTGTTTTTACAACAAGGTCAGTAGAAATATAAGGCTCTTTATGGTTATGATGAATGCTGGCATGAAACAGTTATTTTGCTTTTCTGGTGTTAACTTTTACAGTTCACACAAAAAGCACAATAGTACGAATGGTCATTGTCTGACATATAGATAGATCATAAAGCAGCTGAACCTTGATGTAGCCACCCTATGCCAGAGAATGTCTTCCTCTGTGAAGACTGGGGTATGATATTGTTATTACACACAGAAGAAGTCAGGCTCTGTGAACTGACTTCTGGTAACCAACTTCATAAGAAATTGATGTATAATTTATCAGATTCTGTATTGGAACTCACTGACGTTTGAATTTTCTCTCAGGAGGAAAATCTGCATAGCAAAGTAAATTACTATTTGAAATTCTTTGATAAGCAGGGAATCTGACATATTAGAGTAAGTTGAATGGTCTAAATCGGGACTAGTCAAGGAAAATGTTGTCATTTTTCGAACAAGGTAAGAAGCTTGCACCAGGATGTAAATTAGAGTATCATTTTCTTCATTGAGAAAGTCTTGCTCATATACTTCAGGTGAACTAAAGAGTGTGCTTAGTGACATAGATAGGATTTACATCCTGGAAAAAACTCCTTATCACATGGCTGATTGTTCACAAATAGTTCTCATATAGACAGGTGTTCTATGGACCACACGTTGAAAAACACTGGTTCTTTGCCTGAATCAGAATTACATTGGGAAGCTTTTTAAAATATATGGTTTCCTAGTACATACCCTTGAAGATTTCTGGCATGTTGTGCTTCCATGTGCATTTTAAAGTTCTCCCATGTAGTTCTGATGAACACTGAAGGTTTAGGAGCTGTATAATAAAAGGCATAGAGTAATTTAAATAGTGCCAGGACAAATAGGTTAGAGGTTAAGAACATGACTTTTGAAGTTGGGGATTGAGTTCTTGCTTGTTCTTGAGCAAGTTGTTTGGGGGTTTCTAAGCCTCAGTAGTCTCATCTATAAAACAGTTATAAAGAAAAAGCACTCAGCTTTGCTGCGTAGTAGGTAATTGATAATATCATCTATAAATGGCAGGCAGGTATCTTCTTCACAATGCAGACTTACCTGCCATTTTGTAGGATATACACAGTCATATACAGCCCCAAATTCCCTGGACAAGCAAAGAACATACAGCTTTTTTGCTTAGCTGAGGCTTGTTTTGTTGAACATCTATCAAATAGTCAAAACTCTTTGGGCTGTGTTAAAAACCTAAATCAATGTGATTGAAGGAAAAAAGAAAGTTGACTACTCAGGGGGAGATTATTAGATCATGCAACTTACAGCTGAAATTCCAAGGGTGGATCTGGCTAAAAACATGGCTGGATCCAGGTGCTCAAAAGGTATCCTTCTATTTACATAACCTAGCTATATTTATCTCCATATCTATCTATCTATCTATCTATCTATCTATCTATCTATCTATCTATCTATCTATTTTTGTGGGTTGGCTTCATTCTTAGGCTGGCTCTGGTTTTGTAGTGGCAAAATGGGGTATCAACAGTGTCAGGCATGTGTATTACGTACTAGCAAACCACAAAGGAAAAATAAGTTGTTTTGTAAACTAGTGTGGCAAAAATTCCAGAACTGAGGCTTAATGGCCTTGCTTACAATATCTTTCCATTCTCGAACAACTCACACTTACTAAGTAAGACCGTTCTGGTTTGCCAGGCTTAAACAGGGACCCACTACCTGAAGCATTTGTTCTAAATGGGGGAAAGATAATTTCTTAAAAGAAAGTTAAGGAATGCCATTAGGAAAAGGGGAATATATGACGTAGAATCCAAAATGACAGATGTCCACTACTCTTACCTACAGTTTTTTCCTCTACCCTTCCCTTGTTGTTTAAATGTGTTAGTTCAGTTGGAATAAAGCTAAGATTTGGCTTCGAGACCTTACATTTTGTTAAGATAATTTTCAGATTTTTATTCTAATCCGTTTTTATTTGTTTCATGGTAAATTTTTATAGGTTAAATGTTTTTCCCCTATTTCCAATTTTGGGATAAAGGACGAAGGGTACTTACCTTATGTTGACCAAGAACAAACTCAAAATTTGTTAATAATAATATGAGTTTGAGTCTTAACCTTTCTATTTTTTTTTTCCTTTTATGTCTTTTTTTGTGACCGGTAACAGGATCGCAACTCTCAGTGTCGCGCCCGCACCGCGCTCAACCAGTGAGCGGACCGGTCTCTATATGGGATCCGAACCCTCGACGGGAGCGCCGCCACACTCCCAAGCGCCGCACTCTACCGAGTGTGCCACCGGGCCGGCCCTTAACCTTTCTATTTTGTTAGCTTGGAGAATATATATGTTTGATAAATAGGAATAAGCAAGGGATGATGTTAGAAAGTGAACTGCCAAAGTTTCCCAAAGGGGAATTTATATTTAGCCTATATTTATCACATGATTATAATGTTACTATGGATTATAAAATATTGGATGTATTATAATTCACTAAATCAGTAAAAATCATGTAGCTGTTAATGATTTGGAGCCCAGCTTGTGAAGCATGTCTTGGCAGAGCTATCAAGTGGTTAAAAATGTTGGTGTGAGAGTTAAGTACTGCAGTGCTCAAGTCCAAGTCTGGCTGTTTTTGTGGTGTGTGGCCTTGGACCTGACTTCTCTGGGATGCAATTTCCCCATATGTGTAATTGGGTAATAAAATGTAGTCACCACGTAGTGGTCAGGGAGAATTAAATGCACTGACAGGGAGGTGCAGGCTTCTTCTGTATTTTTCAAGCAGTACATATGCTCAGATTTTTTTCTCCAGGCTCCCTCATAGTAAGTCACTTAATACTTCTTCTTGGCCCCTATGGTACCATTTATTTTACAACCACAGTGTTCTCTAAGATGGCACCATAAAGAACTAAGTGTTACCCAACTGGAAGAGCAAATACTTTCAGTGCCTGTTTTTGAGCTTGCAAAGAAGAATGGAGAATGTTTATGACTAGCTCTCAGCCTCTGCAGCTCATTTCACACATTGTTGCCTCTGTTTTAATATTCCCTTAAAGGCTTTCATTGTAGACATCAGCCTTCCTCTCATCTCTTGTCCCCTTGACCCAATGCAGCATGATGTTTTTTATTTATCATTACAAAAATGGAAGCAGGATGCTGTATTTTTTTGAGATGAGTGGTCAGTACGGTGTAATGGAAAGATGAGAGCACCAAGATTTAGACAAAAATTATTGTGCCAACTCTGCTGCATTCGTGCTGGGTGACCATAGGCTCATCACTGACCCTCTCTGATTCTGTTTCCTCAGGTATAAAATAGAAAGAACAGTGAGGAAGACTGTGCATAACTGATATCCTTGCTGTGAGAGTTAAACAAAATGCTGTCTGCAATGGGAAGCATGATCCAAGTGCAAATTTTTATTATGATTGTAATTACTATATGTAAATGTGTCTGTATATTAGGTGTTTATTAAAAATTGGATTCCTGTGTGCTCTGCTCCCATTTTCCTAACTCCCAGAGATGTAGAGGATCCCTGCCAGATGGCTGATTTGCCAGCTGTGTCTTGTTTTGTCATTGTAAATATTACGTGCCCCAACTGGGAGGCTTTGCTTGTAATGTAGTATGCTTTGTCCTCTATCTCTTGCAGCTTGAGAATTACATTGTGGAAAATATGAAGTCGGACATGGCCCAGATACAGCAGACTGCAGTTCAGAACCACACGGCCACCATGCTCGAGATAGGAACCAGCCTCCTGTCTCAGACTGCAGAGCAGACCAGAAAGCTGACAGATGTTGAGACCCAGGTACACCCCCAGGGCCAGAGTCCACAGACTCAATCAGGAAGATTTTTTTTTTTCCCTGTAGCTTGCTCCATAAACACAGAGCACATTTCAGCACTGGGATTGGGGAAACATACACATTTGTGTTTATTGGTAATAACAACAATGACTGCCTGACATGCTATGCATGTTTCTTTTGATTTAATGGGAGTTGGTATATTTAGCTTTGTATGTGTTTGCAAAAACAGGGCTGGCAAAAGACCTAATCAGCGTTTAAATTCAAATAAATACTGCAGCTACCAACTGTGATATGATATCTGTCAAACAAAATAACCATTTGGGTCAAATTGGTGCCTTTGATGTGCATTTTTGAACTGTCTTGTTCTGTCTTAGCTAATGCTCTAGCATAAGGGCACCTGCAGAGGTTTTGTACATTCAGTAGATAGAAAGGAAAATCCCAAATGAACTGATCAGGTGTGTGCGTGTGTGTGTGTGTGTGCCCCCACTGATTAGGAGTGTGTGTGTGTGTCCCCAGCAGGGACAATGACATATATGAGTGTGAATCAGTAAAAAATAGGTATGCCCTTTAATTGTCACTGTCACAAACCCACTCTTACAGTTTTGTGCAAACAACAAATGTTTTTTGATGACTAGAAGCTGATCTCCTGGTTCCTTTTCAGCCATGGAAATGCTTATTCCAGTGACCACTCTGAAATTCCAGGGATGATTCTATATCAATGTAGTAAAATTTTCAGAATCAAAGTTGAAATATACAAATACAAAAATAAGATTCAATCATCAAAGTTGAAATATACAAATACAAAAATAAGATTCAATCTTATTTCTATTTTGTTTCATTTGTCTCAATGACATCACAGCTTATGTTGATATTTAAGGAGAAATAACAATGATAATGTATATGGATAGAGCATTTTATATCATACAGACAACTTTCCTGTGTACAAATGATTTTTATGAAAACCATTCAGAGCAGACAGATCAGAAAATCTGAGTGATTTCTCACACTTATACAGCTAGTGAATAGAATTTGGGACTCAAACTCCAGCATACTCATTTCTTTCTTTTTCTATCTACCTTCATTAATAATACTAATAATTAACAAATTGAATAAGAACTTAAATGTTGATTACATGGGAGGAATAAATCACATAGACTTTGGAGAATATATTTTTGCTGTACATTAACATCAGATAAATATGGCAGATAAAAAAGGGAAAAACTACATATTGTAATTAAAAATTTCAAGCCTTTATTTAATCACATATTATCAAATAAGCAAGTTTGATGATTTATGCATATTGGCCTCTTTTGGTATAAGCATTGTGACTGTATTTTTTTCTTATTTTTCTTAGCACAGAATGTTCACCATCTCCTACAAACATTCTCATAAAGCTGGCCGGTTTGCTCACTTGGTTAGAGCACAGTGTTATAATATCAATGTCAAGGGCTTGGGTCCCCATACTGGTCAGGAAAAAAAAAAGAACATTCTCATATATTCAAAACCTGAAACACACAATATGTTCTACTTGACTGCACATTTGAAATTAATTTTTATACATTTCTGTTATCAACTTTTATGACATAAATGGTAGAGTTTTATTTATTTTTTTCCATCCCCTAAAAGCCTTATCGTGGATTGTTTTTGTTCTCTTTCCACCTAGGAATTGGAGTTGTGGGTAAAAAATGTCTCAATGTTAGCTGTTAATCTCCAAACTTTTAAAATGCACAGTGTGTAACATTTTAAGAGGTAACGACTTGTTCTGCCTCCTTAAGGCCAGGAGATATGTACTTTATAGAAAATAGTACAGAAAATTAAAGAACAAGGATAACTACTGCCAATGTGGAAAAGCTAAAACTCATAATTAAAGGCCAATGAAAGTTTATTTCATATAGAAAGAACAATTTTAAGATAGCTGAATCCCCAAAACATCTCAAAACAAATCCATAAGAACTAGCAATGAGAGGAAAGTAGAGGGAAGACAAAGGCTCAAACTATGTTCTGTCTTAAGAAGTGAAGCCTATGTGTTATTGTTATCTTTAGTTTAATGTCTTCCAGTTGCTTATGCTATTTGTGCTGTGATGCTCCAGACCTTTTTCATGTAAATGTATACCCGTGTGGTGCTTATTTGCAATAGGAGGACATGCTCTACTTAGACATAACCACTCAAGTGCACTCAAGTCCTGTTGCAGGGCCAAGTTTACAGAATGAATCCTGAGTTATTCATGTACTCTGTTCATGTACAAAAAGCATTTATAAACAACAGATCCTTCTGTGCTGTCCAGGTACGCTTCCATGATTTTGCTCCTATATTCATGTAACTTGGCTTTATCTTGGTAAGTGTTGCCTTTCCTAGAACTGACTTCAGGTCCTTAGTTATTTCAGAAACCCCTGGCAATGTTTTAGCAATATCTTTTAGTGCCCTAGCTTCCACATGAAGATGTTATAAAGATAAGTAACTTATTGCTTTCTAGTCCTCTGCTGACCTTTTAGACTTGCAACTTAACAAAAGGTGGTACAGCATGATTTTACTGTAAACGCATTTTAAAATACTCTTGTGCTTGATAAGCATCATGATCAGAAAGGAGACTGAGAATCTAAGTAACCCTGCTGGCCATGGTGGTGAGGAACAGGAACCAACACCCATGCCCTTTCCTTCTGCCTTAGTCCGGCTTACAGTGTTTTTCTCACTCTGTTATCAGTTTGTATCAGTTATCTGCTATACCTCTTCTCCCCAAGTTCCTCTCTCCAAGTGTGCAATGTGAAGGAATTAGTTTCAGGAATTATTCATGTCCCATCTTGTAGGGTAATTCTACTTCTCGCTTCTTTCTCAGGCAAATTTGGTTTTAGAAAAACTAATTGACAAACACATTGCATTAAAATTCACCTCTAATAACTGTGCTTGGCTCTGTTCTAAGCAATTTTTGCCCATATATTAGCTATGTAATAATAATAGTAATAGTAATAAGTCCTGTGGGATAGATAGTATTACCATCCTTTGTTTAAAGATAAAAAGACTGAAACAGAGAGGTGAAGTGACTTGCCCCATATGAAGAAACTAGTAAATGTCAGAGCGAGGGTTTGCGCTCCGACAGTCTGGCATTCAAGTCTATGTGCTTTACAGCTGCCTGTGCTGCTTCTCTGTGGTTCCCTTCTTTTTTGAAGGTTGCAGGACAGTAAATGGGTCCAAACAAGGACAATTAGATAAAGCAAAAGGTAATGTGGACCTCATAGCAGCCACTGACTGCTTTCCATAAAAGAGGAAGATGTCACTGCTGCTCTGCTGATGACAATGATGGTACCACCTGATATTGCCATTCCCCCATGTGTCAGTCACATCATTCAACATAGTCCTAGGATCCAGTGTTGTCCTTGTCACTTGCCAAATATGTAACTATAGAGAAGTTCTGTAGACATTAAGCCTAGATTTCCTCCAATTTTCAGTAATTGATATGGGAACTATGGTCTTAGAAATGGAATTTAATCAAATTTTAAAAGATATATTTTGAGTACTTCCTTGATATGAGATGTTTTAGTAGGCACTAGGTAGAATGTAACAACAAATAAAACAGTCCTTATTTTCAGTGAGTTTAATTGAGTTCATGTGGCAAAACATTTTAAAATTATTTCTTTCTTAACTTTTTGTCAAATTAATTAGCTGTGGCACCTTTCCTCACAGCCATAAACACGCACCTTTACAATCTCCTACTGTGGGGACTGTAATTGACCGATGGCCCCAGTTGCTGTGCTCTGAAATCCATCACTGTGTTGGTGCCGAGACCACAATTCCCAGTGGCCACTTCCAGGCAATGACTCATTGTGTCAGGGATACTTAGGCCTGCTTCTGGGAGCTGTAGGACTCCGCTGACACAGGACTTTGACTAAGGGCTCCCCATCAGCCTTGCCGAACTTTCTCACAGTTAGGATTTCCACCCAACCTCCTTCCTCCCATCTCTTCTTCTCTGCGGTCAGACCTGCGTCCCAGTCTGAAGGCTCTCCCAGCCTCCTCTGGCTTCCTCCCAACTTTGCCCCACAGACATTTTTTTAATAAATTTCCTTCATGTCTAATCCCATTTAATCATCTGCTTCTCACAGGTCAAAAACTATCAAACCTGTTGTTTGGACCTTAACAGCATGATTAGAAATTTAAGGCAGTTCAGGAACAGTTTGTTCCTTGAGCCTGAATCTCTAGGCAGAAACAGGTTTCTTCTCATATCTGCTCTCAAAGGGCAGCTCTCAAAGTTGAGCCCCTGCATCTCTTTAACTTGAAGTAGGAATAGTTAAATAAACACTTAAACTTGGTCTAAGTGAAATGGCAGTGAAATAAATTTGCTACTGTGTCATCCAAAGAAATACCTGGTAATTAATTTTCTTACAGGGTCTGGAAAAAGTATTTGATAAGCCACTAGGAGAGGGGTTAACAAACTACAGCTCATGGGTCAAATTGGACTGGCCATCTCTTTTTGTAAATAAAGTTTCATTGAACACAGCCACACTCTATTTTATATGTTGTCTGTGGCTGCTTTCTTGCTACAACTGCAGAGTTGAGTAGTTATATCAGAGACCATATGGCCCACCAAGCCTAAGATATTTACTATTTGTCCCTTTACAGAAAAATCTGACCAACTGCTGCACTGGGATGTAAACTCCTAGGGAGCAAGGATTTTTTCTGCCTTGCCATTGTTCACTGCTCTATGATTAGGAATCAGAACATGACTTGGTACCTAGTAGACTCAATAAATACTTGACAAATAATCAAATTAACTTAGTCCCTTAATATCTGTAGTTTTCAGCCCAATGCCACCAAGGCCAAGGGCAGTATCCTGAGGGTGGTGTGTTGATGGTAATCACAAACAGCTGATGGGTCAGAATAAGACTCTGAACAGAAGCAGTGTACTGCATAGATGCAAAGATGTTCTGACTGACTAAGAACATTGGCTGAACATATTTTCTCTGCACTCCAGGGAGCATGAAAAACTTGGACATCTTCCAGCCTCGTAATGTG